TTTGGCCCAGCAGGCCGGGATCATGTGACCCATGACTTCATAGCAGACAAAAACAGGGAAGCGTCTCCCTGAGTAACAGGACCAGTCTGAGTTTCCAAAGTCTGCTTTTCCTGGACCGACGAGTGGGGGGGACAAAGAAATCGAGCTCTAGGTGGGAATTTCGATCTGTGCCATGTATTCACGGCTGTCAGCGTGAGGCCTGGAACGGGTTCGAAAGCAGTAGCTGTGGTGGCTATTTAACCATTTCGTGGCATATCATTGCTGGGGGGTGGGGGGGTGGTGTGGCTCAGCGGGTTGGGACTCTGATCGGAAGGCCGCCAGTTCAAATCCCGAGGCCTAAAGTTTGTTGACCCCTCAGCAAGGACCTTCACCCCCAATTCATAGGTATGACAGTGCCCCAGTTAGCATTAGCTGCTAAGTATAAACAGGAGTGCATAACACCATGATTTTTTTCACCCTTGTCTGCTGCCCTGGGTTAGATCCACAATTCCCTGTTCTGTGCCCCTGGTCCAGCCACCTGCCTTTAGAGCCAGTCCCATTACAGGAACCCCCACAGGCAGACGGCTGCGAGGCGCTGCAGAAGCTGGCAGGCCACGCTGAACATTATGGCTGGCTGCTGGGGGAATTTGGCCTGGCCGGCCTTGTCGGAATGACCTCGGCTTTGATCTCCTTCCAGGAGCGTAAATGGCGGCCAGGGCAGCGGCATGGCCGGGTTTGCTGGGATGCCCCAGGAGAGATACGGCATCACGTGACACTGTCCCCAGGGCCTTGGTGCCGTCCCTGCCGGTGTTTCCCGGTCCAGTCCTTGGGGACCCCCAGACTGTCTGGCAGACAGTTTTGGTTTTATCTTCAGAACCTTCTCACCATTAAAATATACACAGACGCTCCTCTACTTACGAACGAGATACGTCCCGAACTTAAAATGTTCGTAAGTCCTTATTCAACATCATTTTAAGGGTATACGCAAGTACTACGATGCTGAGAGTACGCACGCTGCGCTGCTGCGTGGTGGGAGTAGCGGCCAGAAGTCATACTAGTCGGAATTGGCGTGCAGAAAAATAATTGATGTTGCGGACAGGAAACGGGAGCCCAATGAACGGAATTTGACCTTACAGTCCTCTTCGTTCGTATGTCTGAAAGTTCGTAAGTTGAAAGTGTCAGCGTCAGTGTGTATATATGTCCTATACAATATTGTATAATATGTTTATGTATGTAAATGTATATGTGTGTGTGTGTGTGTGTTTTTAACTTCATGCAGGCTGGGACAGTGCGTGACTCCATGGCCAAATCCCTTTACGGTGCTCTGTTTGACTGGATCGTGTTCAGGATCAATCACGCGCTGCTCAACAACAGGGACTTGGAGGAAAGAGCCAAGGTAAGACCGAAGCAAGGCGCTGCGGCATTACCGTAAAGCCTTTTCTAAGTGTGCATGCAGCCTAAGGTGTGGTTAAGGGAAGCGCACTTGGGAAGGTACAAAAAGCCCCCCCTTGGTTGTGAAACAAATAGGAAGATGAAACAATTTGCTAGTTTATGACTTCCTGTCGGTTGACAATGATTCGACACCAGAGCCTTGATGAGTATGTGACTTTGGTTCCACACTAGACAACACTGGCCTTGCACATCTTTTAGCAGTTGTTCATGGGGGGGGGATTTCATCTCGGTGTGTAGCTGCTGGGGGTGGGGGATTCAGGGAACACCACCTCTACTCCCCATCTTCTTGCATTCCTCTGAGCTGAGTGAAAATCCGGAGATTGTACAGCCCCCGTAATCATGATAAACGCCAGCCGGGGAGCTGCCGGTCTGTTTCATAACTATACCCCTTGTCTGAGGTATTCCTTTAGGTCATCGTGAGTAATGGAATCGGTTATAAAACCAACGGTGCGATATAAAAATAAATACATGCACAGTCTGTTTTTTACATGCATTTAATTCACAAATAAACATCTTACGCAACAGATATTGTTCACAGCACTCGTGGTTACAGTCCCTGATTTCCTCTTCAGTTTAGTATAGAAGGTTGATTTGGGATCAGAGACCCATGTAGCCCACTTAAGGCAATTCCCCCCTGCCGCACCCTTTTCAGATCCTATCCATTGGAGTGCTGGACATTTTCGGGTTTGAGGACTATGAGAACAACAGCTTCGAGCAGTTCTGCATCAACTTCGCCAATGAGAGGCTGCAGCATTACTTCAACCAGCATACCTTCAAGCTGGAGCAGGTGAGCTGTCGCTGCCGTGGTCAACCCCCCCCCCCCCCCCCCCCCCCCCCAAGGGCTAATCAGCATTGAGATCCCGTGTGCGCAGGAGCCCATGAAGGGAGACTGGCGTGGGGGCCAGGGAAGGTGGCTTCAATGAGGGGGTGTGGTTCTGGGTGCTTGAAGTCGCAGGCAGGTTTTTAAGTGGCCTGGTGTTTATCGTTGGGAAGGCAGGAGACATTCCTATAGTGCCCTTGGGGGCTCTTTGAATAGTAGGTAGCAGATTTCAGCATCCAGCTTTGAAGTGTGTCAGATATCAATGTGTAAGTGAAAGAGCGGGGAACAGTCCCACTGATCTTAGGACCTACACAAAACATGGAAACACCGTTAGGGCCACCAGCTAGGAGCCTCTTGACCTGTTAACGGTGGGACAAAAATCCAGCTGGGGGGAAAAAAATCTAGAACAATCTTTACTGGAGGACCACCCAAGAATCAGACAAAACAATTAGATTTATTTGTTTATCTGACATTTTTGTAATACTTCAGATCCCAATGCATAAATATGACTGTGATTATAAACACGTATAATGGATAGGAGATTGGATCAGCGGGAGCCCTCAAACCTCACTGCTGGGCAGGTGGGTCATTCCATGTGACCAATGAGTGGGAGGCAATCTGTCTAACGTCCAGCCAGAGCCCTTGTGTAGGTAACCCTACCTGCAGCTTGAAACAGGAGTGTGTTACTGGGGAACATCTTACATTCCAACTTACTGCACAAAAAGTGTTGGATTAAGGGGCGGGAAAAATCACACTTTAGCGAGAATCACCCCGATCTGGCCAGCAGTGATCTGTACAGAGAAAACCTTGTTCTCTGGCTGCTCGATTCTCCATACAAACTGATTTACTTTGCCAGGCCCAACGTGCATCATCCAAAGTGCAGGTCCACCACTGGCGACAGCCAACGTTGTGAATCAGCTGTCTAAACAGGCAGCGGTCCGGACTGTTAACTTCATCCATTAAAATCAAACGGCGTGACATGGGGCAGCGGGGTGGGGGTACAAAACCAGCACTAATCAGCAGCCCCTGCACCTCTGACACGAGCTGGAGGTGCTGATTCAGAGTCACGGATCGCTGGTGTCCCTTTTACGGGGGGCATGAAAAGCCTATCGCAGCTTGTCTGGTTTAATTAATGGAGGTCTGGATTTACAATGAATCGAGACAAAAGAAGGATGCTGAGGTCAGAGGCTGAAGTATTATGGGATGGCCAGGCCACCCACCCCATCCATCACACCTGAGCCTAGCTGATTCCCTGCTTGTCAGCTGAAGTGTCCTCCTAGGTTGGTGTTTGGGTTCAAATGATGGGGCAGCCATGATTTGAACTGCCTTCCTTGTAAAAGATACACGATGCTAAGTGTCTGAGAGAGGGAGACAGAAGACCGGCTTCTCCGTGCCGAACAGCAGAGAAGCAGGAACCAGGAGCAGTGAGGTCACATGGCTGGCGGTCTGATCGCACCACGCCTGAGCCCCTTGTGACATGCAAATTCTCTCTGGCAACACTTATTCAGTTTGTCGGGCCATGCTGGAGAACGTGCTGGAATGTCCTACATGAGATCCAGCTCGAGGGGGTATCTGAAGCTCTGTCAGATACTTTGAACTTTGAACACAGCCTCAGAACACCACAGGCCATCTCAGAAGCAGACCGTCTTCTGGAGGACCAGCAGTAGCTGCAGATAGACAGTGAGTATGGCTTCCTACTGCCGGCATTCCCTTTAAGGAAGCTTACTAACAGCACAGGGATGCCAAACTTACACGGTACAAGACTACCATCCAAAGATGGGCTTCCCACAGCACGGACCTCCACGTTTCAGCACCAGTGTGGGCGACAGCCTCATTCCAACAGGTTTATACTGCAGAGAAATACAGAATTATCCAGTGACAGGCGGTCTGCAAGCCCAGGCGAGAATACAGTGATGCGTACTGCGTGTACCAAAAGCAGAAGCTTTCACACGGTAAATTACAGAGCACTAGTGCTAAATTATTTGGATAGAAGGCTCTGCTTAAAATGATCCCCTATACCTTAACCGCGTGTCAGCTTGTTCAGCACTCTCTGTACGCACATCGAAGATATATGCTTTACTCAGAAAGTGTGAGAGACCGGGAGTTTGGCTTAGGGCAGAAACGAGGCCTGACTCCCAAAATGTGTGGTCGTCTTCAAATTCCAACCGCAACTACGCGTCTGTCAGCCGAATACAAATGGGGAGACAGGGATCACCGCGAGAATAAACATAGTCTGGGGGGGTCCGCATAATCGGCATGACGACCGGGCGGTTCCACCGCGCAACACTATACCTTGATTGCGGCTGCGTAAGATCTGTGGAATTTGCTAGAAGGATAGCACATTGCCATATTTGAAACGTGAGTTTGAACAAAGTCTCCTCAAGAAAGGCATCGTTTCCTGCACATTTTTAGCAGGGTAAGCTTCTGTGGAAGGCAGGCCCATCACCCAGGTTGGTCTGAAACTCATGTGGCTGGAGAATTCACTGCTGGTGGTTCCTGGTTCATGTTACCTGCCAGGAACTTGGCAGGTAATATTTTTTGAGTAAAAGTACTTTAGCTGCAGTGTCAGTCAGGAAAACCTGCAGTGCTCTAATAGTAAAACAATTTCAGGCTTCCAGTTAAGAATTTCTTGAGCCTGAAATACTGGTTCAGTCTGTATTCATAAAACTGAAAATAATCCTAAACCTAACAGACGCTTATCAGTATCCTTTAAGAACTGGAGATCCATCAGTCCACAACAAATTCTCACCAAGATCTCTGCAGATCTTGCTGAATCGTACCTTAGATGTCAGAGAAACAGTCCTGTATGTCATAAAAATCTCACCATTACCTCTTAATTTGGTCTAACGTCTGAGGACAAAACCACAGGGAAGCAGTGAGCAGGCAGGCAAACAAGCGTCCAACTGACATGCCTGACTGGTCTCTGGGCTTATATAGTCCATTCATCACATTCACCACAGAGTCTCCAAACATCAGCCTTGGAGGGAAGTCCAAACGGAGAAGCCAACACCTCAGTCTAATAAGACCCTCCGTGACTTTCCTCCAACAAACAAACCACCTACAAAATCACTAAGCCCCAGTCAATCACAAGGCGATTATATGCTGGTGTAAGTTTACAGAAGCTATGTTGCAGGGTGATTACTCAATCGCTGTACTTGTGAGTGGTCAGGACACATTTTCAGTGTCCCAATACGGGAAAATGGGGTTGCTCTGTTACCTTCCAGAGGGGGAAAAAAGTAACATGAAGAATTTGTGCAAAAGCACTTGCAAAACTCCCCTACATTAAATGAGGTTTGACTGGTCAGTCATCTGGTGGCCAGAGGGTATTGACTAAGGGGCACCTTCCAGAAGGATCTGTCCCATGGAGGATCGAGCAGGCTGTGCTAACCTCTGCTAGCTTGTAGGGCACGATGAGCCTCTCGCCGACAGCCACCGTCTTCCGAGTGGTGAGCGCATCGATCAGCATCTCCTCCTTCACCTGTAGATGAAGAGCGTGTTCAGATCAGCAGGTGGACCAGACGGCCACACACAGACACGTTCACATTTTATTCATCTACCAGATGCTTTTATCCATAGAGAGATACAACTGAAAAAGCAGGGTTAGTGATACGGGTTAGGATTACCCTCTATGTACATGTACAGGAGGCCAAAAGATAGAAACACTTAATTTGGTCATCATATCTTAAAAAGGACATTGCGGCCTTAGAAAAGGTGCAGCGTAGGGCCACAAGAATGATTCCTGGTCTTAGAGGAATGTCTTATGATGAGAGGTTAACTGAGCTGAATCTATTTAGCCTCGAGCAAAGGAGACTAAGGGGGGGCATGATCCAGGTGTATAAGATTATAACAGGTCTGGATGCTGTTCAGCCAAATGGCTATTTCAATATTAGTTTAAATATTAGAACTCGTGGCCATAGGTGGAAATTAGTGGGAGAACATTTTAAAATAGATTTAAGAAAGCACTTCTTTACACAGTTTGTAGTTAGAGTATGGAATAGTCTTCCTGTTAGTGTAGTGCGAGCTAAAACCCTGGGTTCCTTTAAATCAGAGCTAGATAAGATTTTAACAACTCAGAGCTATTAGTTAAGTTCTCCCCAAACGAGCTTGATGGGCCGAATGGCCTCCTCTCGTTTGTAAATTTCTTATGTTCTTACAATACATTGCCGGTTCAGCCAATGTCTGGAGGAATTGAAATTATGGGCCTTGCTCAAGGACCCAATGGTGAAATCACTTTGCTGAAGATGGGATTTGAACTAGTGACTTTCTGATCACAGGTTTGGCATCCTAACCCACTGAGTCGCACACGACCCCCTCCAAACATCCACACATCCACACTTGTATCTTTCATGGAGCTGGAAAACCTTGGCCGGGATTCCTCTGGAGAAATCTAGAGTGTCCCATCGACACACCCGCTGGGCGCGAGCTAAAACATCGTCTCCGACATCAGGAAACGAGAGGCAGCCGTGTGACTCTGTGACCCAGCCAAACATGCCGTGCAATTATAAATCAAATTACATTCTGCGTGCAAAACAAAAGTTTTGTAAGAGAATTCCGCCTTCCCCGCCGATTAGCTCCATGAGACCAGCTGCGGAGCTCTTGAAGTCGCATGAAAGACGGGACTCTTGGGAACTGCGAAGGACCCAATTAGCGTGTCTGCAGTCGTGGATGACACCGTGAGCGTGGCTTAGCGCTGGGGAGGTGTTTCCACTTTAAAATAAATAAATTAACACTGAAGAGGGAAAAAAAACATCCCCATGTCACAAATGTACATGTTCAGTTACAGATTTGAATGAGGGAGGATGGTCGGTGAGCACATTAGGCGATATAGGCAGCCGCCTAGAGCGCCATCTCCTCTGGGGGGCGCTGACTTAGCGAGCCAGTTTCACTTTGGCTTGGACATGGGCGCCGCTGGTGATCTGCTATCTAAAGCATCAATTTGGACCAGCAACTACAGTGAGCACCGTGAAATGATGCCAATATCGCAGCTCCAAATTTTCCATCCCTTTATAAAGGCCGTGTTCATTTCCGACATTTGAGAGTAACAAAAACAAAATTAAAAAAAGAAAACACTGTCTTGGAAAATATGCAGGGAACTATGTTCCAAAGGCAGACGTGGTTAAATGAAAACAGTGTCAGCTCCTCCCTGCTGGAATGCGAGGATGTCCACTTTGGCTGCACCAGGGGGGTGTGTGAGTATGTGTGACATCGTGAGAGGTGGGGGGGCCCTCTCTGCTTTGCCGGGTTCAATAGATCAACCTCACTCATCCAGCCTGTGGTCTATGATCCTGCCTGTGTCCAGCTGTTGAACCCATGACCCTTAAGGTCTCTTGATGGTTCCTTATCCACTGACAATCTGGGGGCTGGAGTTCATCTTGTGAAGAATAACATCAGGAGAACCTCAAGCAGCCAAGAGGCCCGTTTTCATCGACGACGAGTCAATCAGCACATGTAGGTAGCTCTGTAACGACGGCAGTCTGGACCAGTCTTATCAGTCTCTACTACCAGCAGCACATGGAAATCATCTGTAATAATTTTCATCCTTAATTGCTGTGTACATCACTCCTAGATGGGTTAGCGATAAATTTATGTTGAACTCTTTTTTTGTTTCATAAACACCCCAATATTTAATACAACAAAATCACATTGCAATACCTGAAAATTTTCCAATACCGTGCTGTCCAAGTACAGTATACAAAACACTTTATTTCTTGTTATGCCATCCTGATCTTAATGCAGTTAAACCTTGAGTCACTTCATCTGTCCATGCATCAATTATTATTAATCTAATTATTTTTTATGTCTGTGGCATAATAGGTCAACCGGAAAAAACCCAATACTAACAAACTGTAAGGGGGCACATCACCACCTATTGTAGTGGGGTCGGGCATACTTCCGTCAATAAAATGATTCCCTTCCCGTGCGTGTACACTGGGACAAGGGCAGCAGTCCGATTAAACGGCACGTAAACGTACTGACTGACTGGCAAAAAGACAGCGGCGGCATTCGTGTTAAGCCTGGATGCCACAAAAACACGTTTAAAATGGGGAAGAGCTGGGCTGCGACCGATTGTACAAACTGATTAAACACGAAATCAGAGCTATTTTTTACAGACTGACGAGAACTAAAGAAAAGAGAAGCAAACGGATCACTGCAATCCACAAAAACAACTGGAATCCAAGCTCCAAAATGCTGACTTGCAGTTGCCAACTCTCCGGGAATTGGGAGGAAGCAAAAACGTGGACCGTCTGCGGGTCCCCGAGGACTGGTTTGAGAAACATAATGGTTTTATTTCACAGTCTCCCAGACTGAAATCAGCCATGTTGCAGCATGATTTGCCACTCAGTCTGTCTGAGGCGGCACGTTCCAGCGGGACAGTGAAGTCAACACATATGTTCTGTAGGCAAGTAGAGGGCAGTCATACCTCCAGCAGCTCAGAGACAATGGGCAGCACTTCAGGGTTGCAGATATCAATGGAGTCATCCCGATACGTCTTCCTCTTGTATCGGATGTTTCCCAGATGCAGAATGGCCGACAGAAGGGAGAATATCCTGCGGAGAGTGAACGGTCAAACGAGGAAGTGGAGAGTGCAGCCAGGTCACACGACACTGAGGTGGGGGGGGATCTAGTCCTTTGGCACACTCGACTAGTTCAGCTTCAGGTACATTACCCTATCATCACGAGGGATTCCTGAGCCTTCAATTAGAAAGAGCCAAATCGTGACCTCAGAATTACACAGCACAAACTGTGGGACAGTCGTCCAATGGACATGTGTGATTTAGGCTCGTCTGCGTGCCTGTGCACATGTATGAGAGTGCGTGCGTGTGCAGGACTCACTGCTTCCGCGTGGCAGGCAGGAAGCCCACCATCTCCATGGCCAGCTGCAGACGCTCAAAGTCATGCTTCAGGTCTTCCCCTTCCACCGTGAAGCAGTCCTGATGAGGGCAACGACAGGGCAGGGCAGGTCAGTTTGACATGTCAGTCACACCTACCTCCATCTCTGTTGGTGATCAATCACTATTTAGAAGTGACTCTCCAAGCTGTGCACTGTTTGTCACTCCAGGTAATTCCATGTCTGGAATTCAACAAGAAGACTGCAGCTGAACACCCAGGAAAACCCAGAATGGAAGCGGCTCTAGAACAACCAAATCACACAAATCTACAAATATCACTGCAGCAAAACAATGTTATTTTTGAGTAACAAAACTCACCATGGGTTTGCGCTTTTATAACAGGGTTATTCAAATCACGGTCCTCTAGGGCCGAGCACTGCTGATTTTCCAGCCTTCCTTTACCTGTGAGCCAGGGGTGAAGCCTCTGACCAATCAGAATCAGTAATTATTAAACTAACTACCTGGGAGAACTGAAAACAAGGCCTGGATTTGGAATCAAGGTCCAGATTTGAAGAACCCAGTTTTATAAGAACAGAAAAGGGACAGAATCTAAATGTCATTGTAAACTTCAGTTCCTGCTATGTGGGGGTGCCACCGGTGTGGTGGTATCACGTGCTATGCAACAATCTACACAGACACAAACCACAGCACGCACACATGTAAACACACCTGTGCCGCAGAATACACACAAACATGCACATATGTACACAAAGCCTGACCTGTCAGATGCGAGCTTTCAAACACGTGCCCACACATGACAGGACGCCCCCTGGTCATTGGAATACACAGCAAAACGACTGTCTTTGCAATGCTAATCTTTGCATTATAGTATACAGCAACACCTCTGGGTGTATAGTGCCTCAGCAGGTGGCTCTGCTACCATAGACCTTCAGGATCAAGGGTTTGAATCCCAGCTCCGCTTTCTGTGTGTCGAGTTTTCTCCAGGTATTTGGCTTCAATGGCACAGTCCAGAAACAGCTAGTCAGGCTAAACAGTGTCTCTAAATCAGTGTTTCCCAACCCGGTCCTCAGGAACCCCCAGCAGTCCATGTTTTTCTTCTCCCCCCAGCTAAGGGTAAAGATGTCGACTGTGTGGGGGGTCCCTGAAGCCCAGGTTGGGAAACACTGCCCTAAATAACTCGTGGTGTGTGTGTGTGTGATTTAGACCGGCATCACATCCAGGTTGTACCCCAAGCCTTGATCCCTTAGATCTAGTCCAGGTCGCCCTTCAATAAGTGACAGGATGATGGATGGCTGCCCATCCATGATGTGATGAGGTGTCCTTCAAAGGTGAGATTCCCCTGGAGCCAGGCCTACTAAGGGGAAACTCCTGCACACCTGGTTTGATGTGTAATCGCATACCACCAAAAACCAGTTTGCCCTGCTGCTCTCGCCGCATCTTCGCAGGAAATTGTGCCCGTGTCTGTTTAGCTTTCCTTCCCATGTAGGAAGTGTAGGAGAATAAAGGAAGAGGGGAGCGATTTGTCGACTTAATGGCTGCAAACGCCTCCCTCCCAACAAAAATACATTTAAGCCAGCGAGGACCTTATCCTGGAACCAGGACGTGCGCTGCAGCACTGCGGGGTGTACTTAATAAGAGGAGGCTTTATTCACTTCAGATGCTATACGGAGCTATCCGATGTGTTAAATCACGTTTGGAAGCCAAAGAGAACAATGGAGGCAAGGATTCCTGGGACCGTGGTCGCTTGCAAGGCCTTGCAATTCAGGCCCCGCAGTCAGCCTCTGCGGTAACTTCAGCTGCCTTCCCTGGAAACCAGCATCACATTCTGCAGTGCCGCCGCACTGGAAACGCTCACACGGCCTGCTGTTCGCCGCCCAAATTGAGATTTTCCGGCAAAATTCCTCCCCGACCTCCTTGAGAAATGTGCTACCAACGGACATGAAAACCAATCATCAGCTGAGCACATGATATCCACAAACTTCTCCCTAAAGGGTACAGTTTCTGCACGCCCTTCATTTCTGCCAGAAGCAACAAAATCATCCAAGAAAGGCGTGCGTTTTCCCACTATGCCTCTGGGCATCCCGTCCTCGGATGCACTGCTGGGAGAGTGCAATTGGTCCTGCCAACAATACCATGATAATCAACACAGACAGCCAATGGACACGCAGCAGAGTACTACAACCAGCCCGATTGGCCAAAAAAAAGAGACACATAGACAAAAAACCCAAAGGCATGTGCTACACACCGTTCATAGTCTATTCTCTAAAGCAGGGGTGGCCAATGTTATCCGCAAAGGGCCGGTGTGTATGCAGGTTTATGGGGTGACCTTTAGGTCAGCTGTTCAGACCCAGGTGTGAGGACTCTTCAGCCAATCAGTCCTGTAATTAGTGACCTAATTAGGGAGTTGCAGCGAAAACCTGCATACACACTGGCTCTATGTGGATAAGATTAGCCACCCCTGCTCCAAAGCATGACAGGAAACCTACAGCTTACTAATAGTTATTTTAGACTAAGGCAGTCAGTAAGCGATGGTCTCTGCGAAGACAGAGACTGCACACCTAAAAAATGACAGAGACTTTTCATACACAAAGGTCAGAGCTTGCTAACGCCCAGACCACTGGTAGCAGGGGACACAAACAGTACAGTGGAACGGCAAATAATGCAAATAAATACATAAGCGGCAAATTTTTCATTAGAGACAGCCTCCGAAAGGCCAGAGATAGTGTGGCTGCAGAAGCTATAGGTATCACAGCTATATCCCGTATCCAAGGACAACCGAGTTCATGAAGCTCATTGGTCACCATGGGGGGCATAGGAGCTGAAGAGCAACCAATCAGGGACAAGGATAGAGTGGAGAGGTGGAGCAATGAGAGAGCAAGCAAACCAAACCACAGGATGTACATGGAAAGTAGACAAGCAGGGTTGAGAACTTGAGGGTTAGGGTGTGAGATGGGAACACTGGAGACAGATGGAAAAGGCCCAGGATTCCATCCCAGCGCAGACAATACTGACCAGCTCACTCTCATAGTCATTTTCCCAGTGCAGCTTGACGGCTTTCTTTGTCATCTGGAAGTAAGGTAGATGCAGTTAGGTACAGGTATACCTCGCTCTCATAAGAACAAACAGGAACTTAATAGATATAGCATGACTCTCTCTAGCCACATGTCACTGATACCATATAAGCTCACCAAACATGCACACACGCACACACCTTCCTGGATCATGCTGATTTGTTTTTGTGTTTGACCACAACTGAATTACAGAAAGCGATCACGGCTTTTCAAATGAGAAGCACGTAGGCCTAAGCTCAAGGCTCATGACATCTTTGGGAGTGTACGACACAGCTGTCCAAAGACAGCCCAAGGTAACATGAAGACGATCGCTCTCTCCAGCTCACACAGGCCTTGAAGCTCTCCCGGGCCTTCCAGTTTTTCCGAGGAAGACGCATTGGAAGTACGTGCTGGGAAGGGAGGGAGGCTTACAGAATGACTCAGGAATGGAAGGAATTATTTATTTCTCCTGGCCTTTGAGTTTTTACAGGGACAGAGAGACACCGACATCGTGCTTAAATGAGGGGCAGTGAAAAAAAATCGTATTAGCCGAAACCGAAACTAACTTCCATTACAAAAATCTGATTGGATGTTGTACTGATGTGTCCATGAGCCGAGTCATAATGAACAGTACAGCGTGCGAGAAACCAAGTGTGACATCACAGAGTCACGTGCAGGGCCAAAACGGCCGAGAGACACGCCTTTATTGTGAAATGCCGAAACTGGAAGCCTGAGGTTTTGTGTGACTAGGGCACTGGGTGGCTTTTTGTTGTGGTGCTGGGAGACTGGGAGGCTGGGGTCTGGGGGGGGGGGCATTTCCACAAGGGCCTGCTTACCAGAAAAGCTTAAGAGATTAACAGTGCCGCACGGCGTTGTCATAGAGATAAGGACTAACACAATGGACGCGGCATGTGCTCTCCGCGTGCCGGGACTCCCGTCAGACTGAGAGGCTACAGGGACGGCAGCCCGGAGGGGACAAAAACCACCCCTCTTCAACCGATCTCCAACTGGTGGTTTGTGTAAGGGCGTCGAGGCCCAGACACACCCGTTAGAGCAGCCGGACTGACAGACGGCGAGAAGCAGGCTGATGGTTTGTGGGTAAAAAAACTGACACCCAAACCTCTGCAAGATTTACAGCCACTTCACTTCCTGGGGGGTATTTTCTGTTGGTCGGGGAAATGAGGCTTCAGAACTCCTATTGGTTACATCACTGGCTCCCATTAGTTTAAATCAGTGTTTCTCAGCTCGGTCCTCAGGGATCCTCAGATCCGTCCACATTACTGAATACCTGGTACAAATGTGCTGGGAGCTGGAAAAGAGCAAAGATATGGACTGTCTGGAGGTCTCTGAGGACTGGGTTGGGAAACACTGAGAAACACTGAAAATGGTGGTTGGCAGCACACAGTAATTACCCCCGTCATGGGCTTGGAAGCCTTATTTTGCCCTTGACAAAGACCTCCCCCACCACCCAATTTTTTCACGCTGGTGTCGCTGTGGGCGGGCAGGCGTACCTGGTTGAGGTAATGGTACTCGTCAGGGTTCCTGAGGTGGAAGGCCAGCCTCTCCTCCTCGCTCGCTCCTGCCAGCAGGTAGTAAAACACGTGGTAGTTCCTGGCAAGGACAAAGGGTCGCAAACCCGTCAGATAGTGGAAGGAAGCCTTCACATGACTGCAGACCAAAGCCGGCAAGACACCAGAACTTCTCCTGGGGAATCAACATCAGAGTCTCAGCACTCGACCCAGACCTGCGGGGGTCGGGGGGGTCACAGAATTTTCAGAGAAATACAGCATCAGTGAGTAGATGGCAGCCCTTTCAGCATGAAGGCTGCAGGAATATGAAGATGAAGGCGGGTAACAACCAGCCAAACTGGATAATGGAAGGTGAATAGATGTGCTGTTGATTTTTTAAGGTGGGGGCATAAGAGGAGCCATAATTCATACAAAGGGGGCAACCTTATCATTATCCAATGATAGGTTTTTAATCAATGAGTGACGGGGAGGGGACCAATCACCTTTCAGCTGCACCCCACTGTGTATACACCTCTGTCTTTGTCATTACCAGCAACAGTAATTTTACACCCAGGCCTACAATCACATTAAACGTGCAACAAAATGTTTGTAACAACAACCGCACACTGGCACAGCCTGTCATGTGAAGGGTCAGTGTCCAGCGTGACCTGATTGGCTGCCAGGCTGTGATGTCAGCACGATGGAGAAAAAGCTGCCTGGGACATTGCAGGCCTATGGACAGTATGGAATGTTCCGGTATGTGCGGTGAGAATCTGTACACCAGCGTCTCCGACATCCTCACACCCTGGCAAGTCACTTGTGGTGGGGCGAGGGGGTGGGCAACCTGGGAACATTAATAGTCTAAGCCAGTGCTTCCCAGCCCAGTCCATGAGGAATCCCAGACAGTCCAGGTTTTCACCACCTCCCCGCTCCCCGCATATTGGTACCAGGTATTCGGGGTTCCTGTTTGTTTGGTTTGCTTTTGATTGTTTGGTTCAGGTTCTATGGGAACCGGGAAGGAGCAAAGATGTGGACTGTCAGGGGGTTCCTGAACCACAAACCAGTCCCCGCATGGCTGGGGATAACTAAAAGCATCACTAACATGATTACTATTGGGATAACTATCGGTTAAGCACATACAAACATCATCATAGGGGTTCTGATAGCCAGAGCAACCAAAAGTGAGTGTGGGGATGCGGGGGGGGGGCACCCACAGGGTCTCAGACTGCATTGGGGCCACCCTGGGTGTCTGAGCCCTTGGGGGCTGGGAGCAAAAACACACCCGGCAGACGGAACCATCCCCTGGCAGCTGGTAAGGCGACTTAACGTTGCACAGATGTGTTTGTGTGTGTGTGTGTGTGTGTGTGTTTGGTTGGGGGGGTGTAGGGGGGTTAAAACCGTCACACCGACAGTCCCCTGCATGCTGTTACCTTTCATTGTGCTCCTGGTAGACCAGCCTGGACTTCTCCAAAAGGTACTTCTCCACGTAGGCTCTGGAGTACGAACAGAGAAAATAAAACTTAACGCAAGAGTACACAACGAGAGCGACAGAGGCACAGAGAGGTGCATCATGGGAAGCCTCTGTTTTGTTAGGATCCAGTTACTAGGAAAACTACTGCTCTTTTCAGTACTAAGGAGGACTGGCTATTGTCATAAGTTTTTGTGTCACTTTGAAAATCTGTGTCAGGACAAACACCCAAGGCTGTTTACAGTAACCCCCCAACACAGTGACCGACATCTGGACTCCACCCGATTCCGAGGATCCGTTATAACTAGTGAGGTCATCGCTGTCTAAGGCTGCTGTAAATCCCAGATGCATGCATTGCTTGTCCTCCCACAAGCTCATGAGCTTGGACTCAGCTGCCCCAATTCGGGCAACCTTTTCCCACCCAGACCACCCCTCTCCCAGCAGAAGGCCAGTCTCACCCCCTCACGGTTCCGCTCTCCAGGTAATTCACTTGGATGAACTTTCCGAAGCGACTGGAGTTATTGTTGTGAGCCGTCTTTGCGTTTCCGAAGGCCTGTGGGGGTGAAAGAGAAAGAGGAAGTCATTGACAAATAACTGGGAATTCGTTGTCCTGACAGTTGTAATGAAGCATCTTTCAGGAAGTAAGTCAACAGTAGGTGGTATGGCGTCAATAAACAGCATTTGCATCATGTTACATTACATAATAAGCTTCTTCAGCTCACAGCTATACATAATTACACTTTATACTGACATTTATACTGCAGCATAGCAGTGAAGTACTGAATGGACCAAAGGGCATAAAACGAAAGGGCCAGAGAAAAGGGCAGAGAGGGCATCTGTATAACAATTATCCCCCATCTGGAGTCTGAACCCATAACCTTTTGGTGATCACTCCAGATCCTGGAGCACTCTGATTTTCACAGGCTGCTGCCGTTGTGCTGTCCAGGTCAAACTCACAGCTCTGGATGAAGATGCAAACCAAGCGATGCATCACTTAGAAGAGGACCCTTCCTTCCGATTAGATACGCCCTCAAACTCCGCTCAAGCAGACTAAGCCAGGAGCTGAATGGGACCCTCTGAGAACCTCAGCAGCCACACAGCAGACGTTCAGCTATAAGAACGCCATTCCGCATCAGGGAGGACGTGTCTCAGAGACTGCGGAGGTGAAGGGCTTTGAAGCGGTCAGGAAGTCAACACTGCCCAGCCAAGCTCCAGCATTCCATATAAAACTTGATCTGTCAACTTCGTTCTATTAATAGCTCAGAACGACAGCAGTGAGATGATGCAGAATGAAACAGCAGGATAATCAGCACATAAGCCAAGGTATAGAGTCACTCTATGAGGCCAAAGCCTAGCCTGTGAAATAAAATTTACAGAGGTGATGCCCCCCCCCGCCCCGCCATGTGAAAGTACGGGTTAGCCTATGTCCATGAATACCTGCATGAGCAGAAGTATGGGGGGGGGGGGTGTGGGGATGAATCGCCAAAGCTAGCAACCGACTAACGAATCACCCTGTGGGCAGGGCACTGCAGATTCACGTGACACAATCAGACAAACTCCACAGAGCCACAATTTACACCTTAAGAAGCAGAACCTTCTGTGATCTGTTATCACAGACACCCTATAGAACCAGCGACGAACAAACCTCAGACCAGAGTGAATCACTACAGGCAGATAAAAAGAACACTTTGGTGCAGATGCAGAGAATCCGGGGCGTCTGTAAAGCAGCACAACATGAAGACTCTTAAGCAATGGCAGTCACATCAAAATTAATTCAGTCACTTGACAGGATGATCACCAGTCCCATTAAAATGATCACTTTGCTCCACATCGCATATGCCAAAGCAGCCAAAAAGCTGCCCCCCTTCTACAGGACAGAATGGCATCCAGAAAGTTAAAGATCCTCTACCTTCTCAATGGTGAGATCAGAGATTCTAATTTGACCTCAGTAGGTCTGGGTGGTTGTGATCAGAAGGTCGGCGGTTTGAATCTTGGCGACACAGTCACCCATCTTTAAAAAAGGCTCCATCAGCCCCGAAACCCATAAAAGCCCTGAGATATGAGGGAGTCTTTGGAAGCTGATCACTTAGCGTTCAGCGGCTACGGCAATGTGGAAGCCCTTTGGAGCACCTGCGGGTCCAGATTCCTCAGTCTGAGATGAATCACACATCTCTCCCAGTCACATGGTGTGGGGCTCTGATTTGACAGGGACATGGGCGTAACTGGGGGTGGTTTCATATACAGTGTGGACACTCAGGGAGTCTCTCTCTGTGATTGGCTCAGCTGTTACTAGGGGACATTGGTATAGATGCTGCATCACTGGCTGCAAATCTGCTCTTAAAAGAAGAACCCATCCCCAAAGCTAATTCCTCTCTTAGATGGAGACAATGGGGCTCGTTTACCCTTCTGAGGTCAGACACCTCAGAGCTGAGCAAAGGGGCTCTCATCCCCTTCGGTCAGGTCGACTCTGTTACTAGGCATAGCTCTAAAATGATTCAGACAGCTGCTCCACATTTTCACACCTGAAATGTGGTTGCTTAGCAACATACCTGCCTATTGTGACCTCAGAATACAGACTGGATTCCAGAGGTCAGTTGCCATGGAGCCACAGGGTAGAGTCAGTCCCAGCATCCCTGGCCTCTGGTGTAAACATCTGGCCTCTGGTTCTGTGCAGTACCTGGCCAAACTGCTCACAGTCCATTTAGTCCACTTAAACTCTAACGGGGGACCTCAAGTTCTATCAAAGATGTTATCAAGAAGTTGTATTCGATGTTCCCATGCGAGGAATAAACACAAAAAAACGGCACAACTTCTGTATCAGTTGCTGAAATAAAACATCGTTTGTCTGCCTGAAGCAAATCACTGTATCAAGGAATATCTCCCCCCACACAAATTAAAAATAGCTTAATCTTTTCATTCTCTTCATCTTATTTTCCTAAAAGGATCAGCCTAGACAAATGCACTCCAAGTCACCCACGCCTAAATAAAATTACTTGTAAATCTACTGGTAATTATTTTTAGCGGGAGCACTCATGTGTGAATGGGCTTTAAACCCCCAACACATTGCAGTCTCTTGCATTTCCCTCCAAACACAGCTTTTCAAGTCAAATACGCAGCTTGAGTAGGACTGCAGCAGCAGATCCCAGTGTGCGGGAGGGAGGGGGATGGGGGCTTGGGGTGGGGTGCGGGGGGGAGGGGGATGGGGGCTTGGGGTGGGGTTAGGGTTCAGGGGCTTTCGAAGGCCCATTTTCACTATTGATTAGTTCCTTGAAAATCTTTTCATAGATGAAAACTAGGGAACAAAATTCAAGGTCTGTAAATAGCTGAGAGTCCGACTGTTAGCCATTAGCCTTCATACAGCAACAAAGAAGCTGCCGGTTTTCATTCAATGCCGACTTGTAAGCAAAGGGACATACCCTTGGAGCCTTAAAGAGAGCTCTGTTATCTGTTCATTCCGGCAGAGGATAGATCGGTATTTTTCTTTTGAAAATATCTCCGCTCTGCTTTTCCGCTTGAAAACAGCATGGGGGGGGGGGGGAGCAAGCTTGGGACTCATCACCCTCCACAGAGTGACCCATAGAGGAACCAACCGGCACATAAAATAACCATGGAAATTTCCATTTCCACATCATACACTATCCTATCCTACAACAGCGAGCAGAAGGTTAAGGATCCTTTACGTTCTCAATAGTGACGGGTACAACTGGGCAGAGATAAAAAAAAAAATATATAAAATTCTGATTCGGGGGGGGGGGGCATGGACCTCAGTGGGTCAGGGTGTCTGATCGGAAGGTCAGCGATTCGAATCCTGTCCTTGGCAGGACAGTCAAATCACCACTGGACCCCGCAAAGTGCTGCGGAAGGCCTTCTGTTCGGAGACATCAGAGGCCCGTACTCATCAGGTCTCCGACACGGGGGGCGCGCCGTACAATGGTGCCCTTTGGTGCTTCATAAAAGGCACCAGTCACAGGGCCCTACAGTGAAAAGCCTCTTCAAGGAGGCCTCTATCAGCGGCATCTTTCTTCCTTTGAGTCGGTGTGGTTTTCAGCGATTCCCCCGAAAGCGGCGCACGGGCCAGGAAGCAGCTGCATTCCACCTCGGTTTGGGCCTCCGCGGGAAACGAGGCCCGGCGAGGAACGGGAGCCGCCGAGGACAAGCATGTCCACTTCCTCTGGGGACTGTACCATGTCCAGACGACAGGACAGGGGAGGACTCCCCTTGCAATGGTATGCCCCCCTGGTCTAGTTACTTTGTATTTAGCAGTATTTGCAACTAATTCATAAAAGGGCGGTTACTATGAATAGCAATATGGAATTTTCCCAAACATAGCTGGGTCTTTGTGTTTTTTTAAATGCTCTGGGTCTTCACTGGCGGAAGTGAATGAGCACCACGTTTATCCAACAATAGAATCACAAGCTGTCTGAAAGCTGCCATTGTTCCATTTTTTTTGGGCAGGAAACCGTGTTAGCAATGGTACGCACTTGGCTAAGACGAGAAATTGGGACGTAAACATGCACAGAGTGAAGGAAAGTGATGTTTTTGCAGCACTAGAGCTCGTACGCTGAAAAAAAAAACGCCTATTTTCTTACAATTGACATAATGAAAAATTTACACGAAAAAATGCTAAAATGTAAATTAATGATTGCAACTGAATTTTATCTACATCGTGTCATAGCAGTGGAATGAAATATTTGCAATCCCAGGATTGTAGTTCTGTATTTCATCAGACGTGGATGCTGATTGAGGGGCTGCAGACAGAGCGACCAATATGAATGGGCTGTTCGTTAGGCCGGGCCCCAAACACGCAATCAGACTAACAGCTGACGAGTGAGGCAAGAGTAACTAATTAGGGGGTTAACAATGCACTAATCAGGGGGTTAATGATGTCTGTAGTGCTGCAGAGTGAAGCACATTTAGTCTATGCAATCAGGAGTCCACCAGACTGAGAACAGCATAGACCAAGCCCTGGGTCAAAGGTCACGATGTCCTTTGAACCAATAGGTACCTGAAGACCAGCACAGGCCATCAGAGGATGTCATTCTGCAGGCACCACAGGAAACAGACAGACACATCGACTAAACACACATACCGGAAAAATGGCCACTGGAATCACTTTAATGATGCATAACACCTTTACTCAAAGCATCTCACGTTAAAAACAAAGACAGGCTTCTTTTTATAAAGGGTTCAACAGCAGAACCTATCTGGCATAGTAAGTGCTTCTGGTCCTAGTCAGGCATACAATTTACCCTTTGTGATGTCAAATCCAGTCTACGTCCTCAATCAGCCCATCCCCTGCTGGCACTGTTGGGTTACAGCATGATAGAGAGATACAACATGGACAGGACAGCAGCATCGCAAGGCTCGAGTCCAGAACTACTCCCTGGTAGAAGTGCCCATGGATGGAGAACTGAACACATGCATTCCTCCTGGGGGGCTGGCGCTCTCCTTCAAAGGATCATATTCCCTCATTCCTGTCCCCGTGGGCCACACATCAAAAGCCACAAAGCACATGATTTTCATTGGCTAGTAAAACAGCCACCACGACCCAAT